ATTCTGGCCCCTTTCATAAAGAATCCTACACAAAAATCCAAAATGTGAATTCACATTTTCCTTTTTTCCAAAATGTGAATTCACATTTTCCTTCTTCCCAAAATGTGAATTCACATTTTGGTTTCCCCCACAATGTGAATTCACATTTTGCCCTGGCCTTCAAGATCCCCAACACTGAGGCGTTTTGTTCCGCATGTCAGATTGGCTGGGCAGATTTCGACATTCACATGACCGCTTTCGTGTGTTCCAGCCTTTTCTTTTTGCGCCCTCAGCGCACGTTGCCTTCGTCGCCTTTCCCGAGCCCCCCGCCCCCTTGCTTCCCTTCCTTTCAAGTATCGCGCATGGGTGCAAGCGGGGGGCTTCCATTAGTTCCCCCGCCGACCACAGCAATCGAGGATGCATCGCCCATTCATGGCCCATAAAGACATCATTGCCGGGACCCTGCGGCCGACCCCCACTTTCACCCTCCAATCGTGATGGCCCACTGTCTGACGTCCCCATGGTCCGGAAAGTGGACTATGTTTTGTCTGCGCTCGTGTATTAGGACTCTGTGCGCATAGTCCATGACCTCATCACCCATGGGGTCCTGCGCCCCGTCTGCTCGATTGGTGCCACTGCTGTGCAGGGGGGCAGCGTCTTCAGGGGATCTGGTTGGCATGAGCATCCTATCTGTGTCGAAACCGCTCGGGAGCTCCATGCCTATGTCGCAGTAATGCGCGGCGGCGACCACGGCAACGTACTCGAGGCGTGCCAGCTGCCTCTCCGTCACTGAGGGGTCGGCGGCGCCCAGCCTCTCCCTTCTTATGCTGGGGTCATGAGTGATGCTCGCAAAGCGGAAGGCAAGGACCTGTATTGGGTCCGGTTGAACGCCTCCCAGACGCCCTTCATAGTCTCCTCCAGTGATGGACCAGACTAGCCAGGAGTGGTCCAGGATAGCGAGGATCGGGGCTGAAGTAGCTAGCTCCGAGCAGCGTCCAGGGAGGGCGGCTTCTACTGGAGCCACACGCATGGGGCTGACGGCTCGTATGCCTGGGTGGCCTGGGCGGTGCCCCCTCCACGCGCGGTGTATGAGGAGCTCCAAGTTGCTGGTCTCACGAGGTGTTCTCGGCGCTCCGCGGTCGGAGACCTCGCGCCAAGGACTGTCAATGCGCAATAGGTGCCGACGTAGGGCCCTCATGGTGCCCCCCCTGCCGGTGATCCTGGCGTCCGCCACGCGTGGGCCACGCATGGGTCCGTCCGCCTCCCGGCTGGCCGCCCAGTCAGCATTCGTGTGCCCAGTGGCGTCCAACCACCGAGCGTGGAGGTCAACGGCGCTTTGCCCTCTGCTCCTCAGCGCTTGGCTGGGGTCGTCATAGTCTGAGGGGGTGGGCGGGCTTTCCATCCGCAACTCCTCCTCCAGGGCAAGGTCTGGGGATGGGTAGGAGGGGGGGGTCAGCTAGGACGGCGCCCCCGTGCGCAGCGTGGCTCACCACGAAAGGCGAGCCGCTGTCCGTCCAAAGGAGGGGCCCCCGTTCTCTGCCTTGCGACGAGTACTCAAGTCCACGGCGGCGCCCGCCGGACGCGGCGTTAGGAAACTCGAGCCCAGGAGGCGGGTCGGGAGGGGAGAAGTCGGGAGAGGAGCTGGTGGACGAGCGAGGGAAGGCACGGGGCGATCCAGCCGCCGGGATCGGATACCTAGCGCGATCGATCCGATCAACCAGAGGAGCGGCCCCGACAGCGGGATCGGAAGCGATCCCGGTGGCACTGGGCGAACAAGGAGGCCCCGCGGGCCATCCAGCCGCAAATCCCAGAGAGGAAGGATTGCGATCGATCATCTCCGTGGAGGAGGGCGTCTCCCTGCGATCACTGGAATCGGGGCCCCCCGGCTCTCGTTCTCTTCCTTCTGGCGGGGGGCCAGCCTCGTCGCCTGTTCCAGGGAGGCGACGGAAGGTCGCAGTGTCAGCGTGGATACTGTCGACGCCCTCCCGTCCCACCTCTGCGGGGGCCGGGTCCCAGATCCTCTCTTCCACCTGCCAGCGGCCCCTGGGTCGAACGCCGCGCGCTTCCCTCTGCGCGCCGTCATCCGATCCAGGGAAGCGACGGAAGGTCGCAAGATCTGTGTGTATCGCAGGGATGAGAGCATCACCCCCTTCTCCAGTGTCGCGCCTGCCGTTCTCACCTCCAGTGAATCGACTGAAGGTCGCACCGTCAGGGCGCACACTGCCGACGCCCCCCCGACCAACCCCCGTGGGGGCAAGGTCCGTGGTCCTCACTCCCGCCTCCAAACGGTCCCTGGGTCGAACGCCCCGGGCCTCCTTCTGCCCGCCGTCATCCGATCCAGGGGAGCGACTGAGGGTCGAAAGATCTGCGCGTCTCGCAGGGATGATTGAATCACCCCCTCCTCCAGCGTTATGCCTGCCGCTCTCGGGCCCATGGAAGCGGCCAAACGCTGCGCCGGCGTCGGAATGCGCTTCGCGGGCGGAGGGTCCGACTTCAGCGTTTAGCTCGCCAGCGGGGACTGCCTCACTCGGCGCGGGCGCGTCCAGGTGGCGGGGCTCGGCGGAGCGTAGGCGCGAGCCTCCGCGAAGCATGTCAGGACTACGGGCAGGCACCTGCTCGTTTCTCCTGCCGACGCCCTCGCGAGCATCCCCTGAGGGTGTCAGTTCCCTGGGTTCCCCTTCCAGGTCGTCTTGGCCCCTGGGTCGAACGCCGAGGGCATTCATCTGTCCCTCGTCAGTTTGTCTACGAGGACCTGGATCCGTGGGGGGGTTCGCTTGCGCAGGAGTGAGGCCCTCGCCCCCCGCGGCCCCAGCGTCGCCGAGGGCCGTTCCACTCTGCCCAGCAGCGCCTGGAGAGAGGGAGATAGGGCGCCCAGCAGTGGCAATGGGGGCGGTAGGGGTGCGAGAGGAGGTTAAGTTAGGCGGGAGGGCATTCTGCCAGCGATCATCGCATCCAGGGAAGCGACGGAAGGTCGCAGCGTCAGTGCGCATTCTGTCGACGTCCTCGCGACCACCCCCTATGGGGGTTAGCTCCCTGGTGCGTTCTTCCCCGTCGCACCGTCCCCTGGGTTGAACACCGCGGGCGCCCCTTTGCCTGCCGTCATCCGTTCCAGGGAAGCGACGGAAGGTCGCAAGATCTGTGCGAATCGCGGGGATGGACGCGCCACCCCCCCCTCCAGTGTCGCGCCTGCCGCTCACAGGCCCCTGGGGGCGACCTAGCGCAACATCAGCGTCGACATGCGCGCCAGGACCTGAGGGCCCGTCTTCCACGCTCAAACCGCAGCGGAAGGCTGCTTCACTCGGCGCGATCGCGTCCAGAAGGGGGGGCTCGGCGGAGTGAGGGCGCAAGCCTCTGTGATGCGCGTCGGGGCCAAGGGCAGGCGACTGCCCGTCTCCCCCCCCGACGCCCTCGCGCGCGCCTGCTGGGGGCGTCGGGTCCCTAGCTCCCCCCCCCCCCCCCCCTCCTCCACGCCGCAGAGGTCCCTGTGTCGAAAGCCGAGGGCGCCTCTCTGCTCCTCGTCAGACTGCCTAAGAGGACCAGGATCCGCGGGGGGATTAGCTGTTCCAGGAGTGGGGCCGCTGGCCCCCGTAAACCTGGCATTGCCGTGGGCGATCCCACTCTGCCCAGCGCCGCCTGGAGAGAAAGAGATTGGGCGCCCAGCAGTGGGCATGGGAAGGGTAGGGGTGAGAGAAGGGGATGAGCTAGGCGGGAGGGCCTCATGCCTGCCATTATCAGATCCAGGGAAGCGACGGAGGGTCGCAATCTCAGTGTGCATCGGGGGGCTGACCGCATCAACCCCTTCTACCGTTTCGTGCCTGCCGCTCTCGAATCCAGGGAAGCGACGGAAGGTCGCAATATCGGTGTGCATCACAGGGCTGAGAGACTCAACCCCTCCTTCCGTTTGGCTGGGGGCCAACGGTCCTCGTGCGCATGGAGCATCGGCAGAAGCGTTCCCACTCCAGGGAGTAGGAGGCGACGGCTGCCCTGGCGGGATGGTGTCCTGAGATCTAGGGCGAGGATGTCCTGGGTCAGCCAGACCACTTGCCCCAGGGTCGACGACAGGTGACGCAGCCCTCGTCCCCACAGGGATGACAGGATCATCGCCGATCGATCGCCCGTCCATGCTAGGCGGAGGGCCGCTCACGAGGCCGAAGTCGAGGAATCCGAGGAGTCTGCTATGGCGGCCCGGCTCCGGGGGAGATGCGCGGCAAAAGACTCCTAGGGGAAACCCCTTGAGCTGGGAGACCCGGCCGAGGGACCGGGGCCCAGAAACGGCCTTGAGCCAGAGGGGCTACGGCTGATGGGGTCACGCGAAGCGTCAAGAATTACACCACATAGATAACACCGGCGGTGCATCGGCGCGAAATCTGCGGGCAGCGGCGACGTACGCGTGGAAAATCTGACTCCACATCGAGCCGCATCGCCGATGCATCGGCGATGAAGCGCGATCCTCCGACCCCGTCTACTCCGACCTCATCCAAGAGGCCTAGCCCTGCCCCCTGCCCCCCTGCCACCCGTCTACTCCGCGACCCCGTGTACTCCGACTCCCCCCCCCCACGTGCCCCCCCGCCCGATGAGCAGGGACCGACCCTCCCAGTATTCCTGTGGGTCTACCGTAGAACCAAATATTGTTCTCAGAACATAGACCATGTTCTGAGAACACCAAACAAGCGTATTAAACACTACGATATCAGCCAGAAGTGTTCTAAGAACCTTTCGTGCAAACCACGAAACGTTCTTAAGCAAGCCAGAACGCCTCGCCACTGCTTGACCCCGCGCCCTGAGCATCGTCTAACCAATCCCTATCCCCATGGGCGTGGTGTGGGCGCCACTGGCCGATTTGCCCCCCTGGATTGGGATATAGGCTGTTCCGTTCGGGTTTCAAAGGGTATGTCCCCAGCTGGAGTGGTAAAATGGTGGGGCTCAGCATGCGGATGGGAATGGGGGAAAGGGTCGGTTGAACGATACAATACTGCCCCTGCCCCCTCCCGCCGCCCACCCACCCCACTTGCCGCAGCGGCTCCTGGCAGCGTTGCCCCGCCGGCTGCCAGGCGTCCTGCTGGCCGGCGTCCTCCCGTCGGGCGTCCCCAGGCCGGCGGGGCGTCCCGACCTCGGGAGGCACAACCCTCCAGCGGGCGGAATGAGGCGGGAGGGAAGGGACCTACGGCAGCTTCGCATCGCGATGGCGTCGGCGTTGAATTCTGACACTGCACGGGTTGTTCAACCTTGAACGATCGGCGACGTTTCGATCGCCAGAACGTGCCAGAATGGCCGAACCTGGGCCACTGGCGGCGTTCGATCTTGAACGCCCGCGGCGGGGTCACTGTCGCGTCAACGCGGGGAGCCCGCCGTAGACCCATTCGAATCATAAAAATTATCCAGGCGAAGAACCCAACCATATGTAGTTGTGAATAATTTGTTGTGGGTGCCGCCCCCAGTGGGCCACGCAACGCGTGATGGGGCGTGCCGTAATGGGGGGGGACGCATGTTGGCGGTCCCACTGGTGCGTCGGTGGAGCTCCCTGTGGGGCCACGGCGCGCTGTGGTGGGTTGTGCAGACGCATGCAGGCGGTGCCACTGGGGCCCTCATATGGGGCCAGTGGAGCCCTCATATGGGGCCACGTAACGCTGTACTAGGTGGGGGGACGCATGTGGGCGGTCCCACTCGGACTTTCGGCGCAGCTCTATATGGGGCCACGAAGCGCTGTACTGGGTTTGGCGGATGCATGTGGGCGGTCCGCCTGGGTTTTTCGGTGGAGCTCCTTGTGGGTTCACGAAACGCTGTACTGGGTGTGGCGGACGCATGCGGGCACCCCCACTGGGGCCTTCGGTTGCGCTCCACATGGGGCCACGCAACGCTGTACTGGGTGTGGCGGACGCGTGCCCGTGGGGCCTTCGGTGGAGTTCCCTATGGGGCCACGAGGCGCTGTACTGGGTGTGGCGGACGCGCGCGGGCGGTCCACCTGGGTCTTTCGGTGGAGCTCCCTGTGGGGCCAAAAAAACGCTGTACTGGGTGTGGCGGACGCATGAGGGCACCCCCACTGGGGCTTTCGGTGGAGTTTCATATGGGGCCATGCAACAACCCTGTACTGGGTGTGGCGGACGCTCGCGGGCACCCCTACTGGGGCCTTCGGCGAAGCTCCCATTTGAACTCACGAAAACTTGTACTGGGTGGAGGGGGCACATGCGGGCACCCACAATGGGGCCTTCGGTGGAGTTCCCTACGGGGCCACGAAGCGTTGTGCTGGCTGTGGCGGGCGCGCGCGGGCACACCCAGTGGGGCCTTCGGTGGAGTTACTTACTGGGCCGCGCAGCGCTGCACTGGGTGTGGCAGATGCATGCGGTCGGTCCCACTGGGGCCGTCGGTGGAGCCCCCTAAGGGGCCCACGAAAGGCTGTACTGGGTGTGGCGGACGCATGCGGGCATCCCCACTGGGCCCCTCGGTGGAGTTCCCTATGGGCCGACGAACTGCTGCACTAGGTGTGGCGGGCGCGTGCGGGCACCTCCACTGGGGCCTTCGTTGGAGTTCACCACGGGGCCACGCAGCGCTGTTCTGGGCGTGGCGGATGCATGCGGGCACCTCCACTGGGGCCTTCGGTGGAGTTCCCTACGGGGCCACGCAACGCTGTACTGGGCGTGGCGGACGCACGTAGGCGGTCCCAATGAGGCCTTCGGTGGGGCTCCCTATGGGCTCACGAATTGCTGTATTGGGTGTGGCGGACGCGTGCGGGCACCCCCACTGGGGCCTTCGGTGGAGCTCTTTAAGGGGCCCACGAAACGCTGTACTGGGCGTGCCAAAATGAAGGGGGGGACGGGAGGAGGGAGGAGGAGGAAGGAGGAGATTAATGTGGGATGGTCGGCCTGACCATATACTGCGTCTAAGATGTAGCCATTCACTCGGTCTGTCGCATCGCAGTAGCTATAAGGCAAGAGAGAAAAGATGACCGCGTAATCGGCAGGAGGGTAACATCTCAAGGGTGAAACGGTGGAACATTTGTCGTAGCGATGCTTGGTAGCGTGTCGAGGCGCGACACGGTCACATTGGCGGCCGGACGCTCGGGTCAAAAACATGGCCGCGGACAAACGATCGCCACGTTTCGCCTTTGCCCCTCCTTCGGGGCCAGGGGGAAGGAGGCGAAGCGTGAGTCCGCGTCCAGCCTAATTTGGTGGGAAAGGCAGCAACCTGCAGCAAGCGATTCTCTACCGCGGCGGGCTTACCCCGCATCGCATTACTCCGCGGGCGGTTCAGTTGTTCTCGTCTGGCCAGCCCTGTTGGAGTATTTCGCTCCAAATCACGCTTGAAAGATCGTATCCCGCCCATGGCTTGTAGGATCATATATCGATCAACGCTCCATTTGGTATGGCCATCTGCGGTCATGTCGCGGGTGTCGTGCCACTGCGCGCCATGCGCGATACCGCGCTCCACCATCTGTCGCATCCAACTGATGTGACCCAGGAGGGTACTTTCCGTCGGCCTCTCCGGGTCTTTGATTGACAAGGACCTGGGGACAGAATCCGCATCAGTGGCCAGGGTGACCTCGATGCTGCGGCCTCCCATCTCACGTTCTTCAACTGAGCGGGTGTCAGCGGCCCTGCATGTAGTTCGTGTAGCGTGACGATCGTGGAATAGCAGCCCTCTAAATTGCGGGTTGCTGCTACCGCTTCAGCCGAATAGCTAAAGCGGACCTGCAAGCGGTGAGACACGCAGGGCGCGTGGACAAGATGGGCGACAGGCTGTCCAGCAGGCGCGTGCCCACGCCGTAGCAGGCTTGCCCCGCAAGTGCCACATCCGTTGACCTCATCTTCGGCATCACCGTTTAAGCGTCGATAGCTGGAGCTGCTGCGCTGGTCTACCTCGCCAGTTGGTGCCATCGCTTTATAAGCGATCTGCTTTGGGCAGGCCTGCAACTTCCTGGTAACAGCGCTACGTCGCCCCACTTGCTTGGGCGCGCTGCAAGGATGCAACATGCGCCATCAGCCATGCCTGCGCAATTAGGGCGCAAGCCAAAGCGCCTCTGAGGCTGACGAGCATACCACTAACAACATGTGGTGCCTTAGCCTCAGCGCCTGCGCCAGCGAGTTCGTGGCGCTGGATAGGACGGTGTTGATATATATATATATATATATATATATACATATATATTCGTCTTGATGAAAGGTAACGCTACTGTCGTCATCCTTAACGTACCTCACAGCGCACTCGGCGCATGTGTGCCCGTTGAGTTCACATGCCCCAAGTACATCTCCAACACGCTTGACGCACGCGTCAACTGTGTCTCGTGCACCGGCAACGTTTATATCATCGACGTGTGTGGCGGTGAGCAAGTTGGCGCTCTTGTCAAGCTCCTCATCGTAAGAAGTGGGTCTGAGTCCAAAGCTGCCCGTGGTCGTCCAAAGCTTCAGCGGAAAGGCCCATGGCGCATCTTTGGTGCCTGTGTCGTCTGAGAAACAGTAGACAATGTTCTCACTCGTCGTAGTGCTCGCGCCCTGGGGATGATCGGAGTGCAGATGCCGCCCTGGGCGGCAGCGCAAAACGCACCGCGCGCCAATTTTCGCAGGTTGCTCGAGCGAGCTCGCGACACGCGAGCCCCGTCAGGACAGCCATGTTGACGTCGAAGGAGGCAATGATCCATTGCTCCCTGCACGCTGCCGCGCTAGCGAGCAATCGCAGGCTCGGCCGCCGCGCCGTTCCTGAGAACGCTTCTACGTCGAGAGCTTCGAAATCCATGGGACCTCGAAGTGACAGGCGTAACCTGATGGCGCGCTCCATTTCGCCTTGTTCGTTCTCAACAACTTGCGATTGTATACGCATCTTGAAGCCATGACGTTTGACGCTTTGGATCTGCATTGTATTTCGAAACACGCGTTGTCAAACCATGTCTTGAGTTCCGTAAGTAGAGCCCCTTCATGCCTGGACTGGATTCGCATGAAAGACGTCGTCGTTAACGACCGCAGCAGTCGCATGGACTCGCATCGCGGCAACACGGTCGACGCCCATGACCCTGCGACGTTGTTCGGATAAAACTGGCTTCGACATCTCCGCCGAAAAGCAGAGCTCCACATAGTCTCCGTGCCCATCGAAGTCTAGTCCATAACTGACATCGTCATCATTGGGGCACAGAGGGACAAGATATGTCTCGGCTGTGTCGATGCTCTGCGGGATTGCCCCACGTAGGCTAGTGCCCTTGCTGTTCGTGAGCAACTGTTACCAGCGCGCTGTTGTCAGGAATCAGATGTGTGGGCACGGTGTGAAATTATTCTACTGGGTCTGCCTCTAGTAGTTCCCCTTCGTCTTGCAATTCCGCATACCACACTTTCCTAAGATGCGCCTCCATGTCCGCCTCAAATTCCTGATAAGCCGTGGGGCGCCGGCTATCATCTTGCGGTTGTTCGGCTTCTGGGGCCTCTCGGGCACTACTGCCATGCATCGGCATGCCTGCCAGATCTTGGAACTTCGCCATGTCCTGGTCGTGGCCCGATGGTGGTTTGTAGACTTCAGGTTCAGGTATTGGATGATTCTCGAGTGTGCTGATCCAATGATATCTTGAATGCTTAAAGCAATGCCTTCAGCTTCATAAGCGCTAAACTCCCTGGGTTCCTGTCGTTGTCATAATGCACCAGCGCACTGCTGCCGGCGTACGCTTCCGGAGGGTACTCTTAATCCCTCGAATAGAGAGCAACATCTTCGACGCGGAAGAAATTTCTGGTAAGATACTGGGGGGCTGAGTGCATCTTCGAAGATAATCGGATCGCACTTGTCATCCGGAATTTTCCCTGTTCTGTCAGCAGAAAGCCACGGACCACGGCGAGATCCCCAGAAAATAAGCTCGCGATGAAGACCAACGCAGTCCGTAATCCTGCGCTGTCAGACCCAATATCTCGAGTGACCAACGCTTCAATGTAGTACGTGCGTCTGACATCGCCGCGTTGTACTTGTGCGTCACGGTCCCCAACCCGCACGATACCTTGACCCCTTTTTTCGGGCTCGTTTGGCACGACTGGGCATGGTCTACTCCAGCCACCCCACTCGCAGTTCGTGGTTGTGGGCCGATGGTACTCATACAGATCACCTTCGTTGTAGTAGCACTCACCAGCGATGGTCGTTCGTAGT